ACAGCTTAGATCCTCTGAACTGACATTTGTTAGCAGAGTACCTGTTTAGTGCTATAATTAATGTATTTTTAATTTTTCAGAAAAAAAAAGTCATGACTTTCAGGTTGTGATTTCTCTTGTAGATTGAGAAGGAGGGAAGTGGGGCAGGGAAGGAGGGAAGTTGCTTTGTTACTAAACAGTATAGGTCAGCTAAATTTGGCCCAAAGAGACTCACGTCAGTCTCCTCTACCTATGACTCATTTCTTCCCTCTCCTGCTCATAAGGTCTGTTGCCAGAGCTCCCCTTTGAGTTATACAAAGGCCTAATTAACCTTCTTCATGGAAATGCCAAGACTCTTGGTCCTTCCTTCACATGGAACTGTGGTCTACCATGTATCTCCTAGAGGCTTCCTGCTCTTGGTCCCCTCTGCAGTGAAAGAGTTTAATAAAGAACATTTCATGTAAAGACAAGACACTGTCAGCATCTCGTGAAGAAATAAAACAGGGCCAAAAAAACCATGAAAATATCCTTTGGGAGATCCCACTTCTGGGAATGTCATTTTAGCAAGGGGGCTGCAGTAGTTCTGCAGCAGTAGCTGAAGGGCAAGGGTACTGCTTTGCCTTCCACAAGTGAGAAAACAGAAAATTCCATCATTCACATTGCCCTCATCAGCACTATTTACCTGGGCACCCCTGCAAGCTTGTCAGATATCTAGGGGCTCCAGAGCAACGACTGGCATTAACTGGGCTATTCTAGACCACATTTTGAAGTGTGGGCTGAAAATCTACCTGGACACCTGCCCCTCATGCCTATCACACTTGACATTGGTACAGTAAGGACAGGGATAAGCCAGGAAATGGTGACATTGGTACAGTAAGGACAGGGATGAGCCAGGAAATGTATTTCTTTTCCAAAAGGCCTGTGAAGGCTCAGAACTGAAGTGGAACTGGAGAGGTTCAGACTTGCCAGGGTGGTGCTGCTGATGTGGCTTGAGACTGCAGGTGTTTCCTTTGCTGGGTGGCTCTGCCCAGCACTGTGTTTGCAGGGTTGCAAGGAGATGGCAAAGTGGGATCTGAGGGGCACCTGCTGTGCAGATTTGGACAAAAATAACCCAGGCCAGTCATGCACCCCTTTTAGCAACAGCCCACCTGTGAATTCAGCACTGGAAAGGAGTGGGACAGAGGAGCATTTGGGCTTATGTACAAACTTCCTGGTTAGTTTTGTGACTGGGACAACCAAATTTTTCTGTGTTTCGAGCTGTGCTGCTGCTTTCCAAGTAATTACTTAAATATTATTGCTGCTCTGTCTTTCATCTCTCGACTTGCATTGCTTTGGGCTAGTTTGCTGTTTTTCTCATCTTTACCCAGTCTTCAGAGTATTTGACTCAATTTTTCCTTCTTTATTTCTTGGTCTCTTATCAGTCTAAATCTGAATGCAAATACAAATAAAAGCATCATTTTTATTCATAAGTTGAGAGTCAAAAATAAACCTACAGTTTATTTTGAATTCGAACAGAACTGTTTCAGCACTTTAGATTATTTGAATGTAGTCTCAAAAATCCAATTTCCCTATAGAAAACAGCATTTGCCTCATCATTAAGGATGACTTTCTGTCCACGAATATACCTTGTTACTAGTTTCACACTGAATTGATAAGAATATTGGGCAGAGCTGCAAAATATTTATTTTTCAGCCACTCACGGATCTGCTTTAAATCTTGGAATGTACTTGGTACACCTTGGTCTGGTCCGTTTCTGATTAACTCCTTGGAAATACTTCTTCCTTGTTACAGGACAGAGATAGGCTTCATAAAAAGAAATCATATCTCAAAGGGCAAGTGACCCAGCAGTTACAAACTTAGGTAAATAACATGCAAAGTCATGTGCCACCGATTTAGTGCTACTTAAATGTAATTTCAAACACCTACATCTGTAGAACTTCTTAGCAGTAAGACCAATTATGCATATATATAGGTAATTTCTTTTTTTATCTTAGACTACTCTGTGCAGGTGAAGCATTAAATACTGTGTTAATTTGTGCAATACCTTGGTTAAGCCAGCATCCCTGAGTTAGATAGCAGTAGAAAGATTTAACACTTTTAAAACTAGAAAATACAGAAAAGACGAGTGCTGATTACTTCTCTCTTCAAGTTGCCTGCTGCAAGAATAAGCTCTTGGGTGATGTCAAGGGAAAAGATTAAGTAGCCATTCATTGCTGGGAATTTCAGTATAGTTCTTGGAATGTCTTAAAAAAAAAAAGCAGTTTGTTAAGCTGGCCCTTTTGTCTAAATGGCAGTTACAGCTAACAGAAACATCAAATGAGTTCATTTGCTTGACCTGATTTGTATGGAAGCTTCAGAGTTAAGGCCCTTTGCTCTGACATGGACGTGAAACTGATCTTGAACAGAAGGCAGCAATTTGGAGCTGCTGAGTCATGAGAGTTTCTTGTGAGCATGAGGGTCTTTGTAGAACAGCAGTGACTCCTTGAAGAGCTCAGTGATTTCCAAAAAAAGTTTGAAGCTCTTCTTTTCTTCTACATCCTCCTCCTCTTTCTGCTTCTTCTTTTGAAAATGGGAAAAATCTAGGCGAGGTGGTAAAAATTTGCATTTTGCTCTGAACTGCTGAAATGGCATTTGTGTAGTCGTGATGTCCTAGTATGCCATGTAAGTCAGTCAGCCACTGCTTTGCCAACAACATGCTGCTCAAATACTGCTTGCACTCCTAGATGCAAGTGTGCTGCATGAGTTGTGTGTATATGTTCAGTTGAACACAACTTCTCAGTTGTGGTTTTGCTGACACGGTGACAGGTGGGCAACTTCAGGATGACAATTTGTTTTTGCAACGGTTTTCAGAGCTTTCTTCTTTCAGAAGAAAGTAATGCTTTAAGGAATGATATAGCTGCATGTGACATGGAGGCCCTCACTTTTATCCCAGTACAAACATTATTACAAACCAAGAAACGAGCAGTGACACTGCACTGTTCAGTGAGGTGGATCTTGCTTCTCCTGGAAGAGTTGAATAACAACAGTTGTGCAGTTCACATGAACAGTGAGATGGTCACACACATGAGAGGAATCCTTCAAGGAGCTACAGGCTCTTATGTTCTGCTGTTCTGCTGGAGAGCTCTGTATATTATACAATCCTCACATTCATGAGTTCCAAAAAGCATGGCTACACCTCACTATCTACTGATTATTTTTCAGCACATTGTACTTCATACTAAGCTGGCTTTAGGTCATCACTAAAACATACAGAAAATTCAGTCTTTTCAATTTTTTAATGTGAAAAGCTTAATAGTTTTGATATACTTCAGATGCTTTTGATTTTTAAAGAACACTGCATCAAATGTGGTGATACAGTTTTCATTTGAATGCATTCTAAAGTCACTTGTGTGTAAATCAAGAATTGATTGGTAAATTAAATTGCCTAAGCCATGCCAGCAGCAGCAGAGCTGGAAATTGCAAAAAGCCTGTAATAAAATGTTGCAGACAAGTTATCTCCTTCCTTTCATCAGTCTGTGAGTTGTAGCAGCAGCAAGCATTCAAAATCTACTTGATTTCACCACAGAGCACACTCAAGTGCAGTTCACAAACTGTACTGTCCTTGAACCATCTGGGGTTCATAGTGTGAAACCTCTTACATTCTTCAGCTTATAAGATTGTTTTGTTACTTCTGCAGTGGCTGCCACTGTTTGCTTTACAAGTTGCTGCTTTCAGTGCTCAGCACACACCCCCCAATAGCTTTGGTCAAAGTGCTTACATAGATTGGAGCCTGATAGCAATAAAGGAGATGCATCCAATTTTCCCACTTCTGAATTTCTTAAAATCATGGGTAATTGTGTCTTTGGAGCTTGAAAGGGAAGAACCCAACAAGAAAAAACGAAACTGTTCTGTAAGTTCTGTTCCTTATGGTACAAAGTTCTGAACCTATCACAAGTACTATACAAAATGGAATTTTCTTTCTTTTTCTCTTAAATATTTGTCCAAAATGCCTCCTTTTATTTATTTTTCTTTTCTGAGAAGCTCATGGCATTGCTCAGTGATGCATTTTGCCTTGCAAGAAAGGGGTAGGCAGAACATTATTTGTAAGCTAGGCATCACTGAGGTCCAGCCTCTTCCCCATGACTCACTGCAGCTCCTGGCTGATGGCATGGCTCATCTACTCCTACCTACTTCCTTGGTCTCTTCAGATGTTTGCTCATCTCCCACTTGTCCCTGAAGGCCACTTTACACAGCTCTACCTGGTTTCATTCAACTTGAATTTGTTCTGCCCTCTGTTTCTGTCATGTTTCTTGTTTGGTGGATGCTTTTACTTCACTCGGTATTTGTCTAGAAGTAAAGGATGTTATAACACGACACTTGTTACACCAGTTGATGGGGATGGTTCCCTCCATACTGACATCACTGCCTTTTAGGTCATTCTTCCAAGCAGCAGACAGAAGCTCAGGGCACAGGATTGTAGGACAGCATAGCAGCAGCACTCCTTCCTCAGCTGAAGTAGCACTGGTTTGACTGACTAGCACAGGGAATAGTAATAGTGGGAATTAGGTGTGATAAGCTGCACAAGCATACTGTGCCTCTGACAGCACTAACAAAATTCTCAGAAGTGCTGGAATAGGTAGATCAGCACGGCTCTGTGCCTCAACCAGTCCCAGTTCCAGGGCTATAGTTCCCCTGGGGGCTGTGAATATATCTGAGTGTGTCCATTGTTCCCATTGCTATGTCTGACAACCACCAAACTCAAAGTTGAGTGTAGTCTCGGGGGGAGAGAGAGACATGTGCTTTAGCTACAGCCACACTTTGGATGGCAGCATGAACAAACCAGATGTGCTGGAAACAGCACTGCAGGGCTGTCACTGCTGCTGGAACTCCCTGGTAGATAAAAACAGCTTGGAAAACAGAGGAAAAATGAAAACCTGTTTTACCTGTTTGAATATATCTTGGGGAGCTTTTTTATCCTTTTCCCTTTCTTCTCCATCTTTCAAAATGGACCCAGAATTCACCCAGCTTGATGATTTTCTTACCATCACCTCTAATGACCCCCAACTGATGGCCCTTTCATGCTAGCATTTCCCTATGCTCTATTTCTTCTGAACTTGCCCTGTTCCATCTCTTTGCCTGTGTCCACAGCTGGGGTTTCACATCCCAGCATCAACTAGAGCCTGCAGACACTGCTGAGCAGATGGTGGAGCTGCTTCTTGCACAGCCCTGCTGCTGTCCTGTGGCATTTTGCTTCTGTACAAGGCAGTGGCTCTCAGCATATCAGCTGTGGATGTGAAGACCAGACCTAGGGTAAAGTAAACCATGTTTGTTGGTTAACTTTCTGGGAAAAGAAAAATCCCCCCCTTGTGTTCAAGTATATGGAAAAAATTAACGTAGATACAGGCTAAGAGAGGAATAAGGACAAGGTGGAGATGGCAGGAAATTGCAGTGTGTTCATTAGCATATGAAGAGGGCTATATTTATACCAAGTGCAAGGAAGGCAGCATGATCAGGTGGGCATTTATGAAGGTATTTAAATTTCCCCTAAACCATGGCAGAGGCTTTTCTCTAGAACTGCATGTGCCTCTGATGTTCCTTTTGAAGAAACCCATATTCCTTCTTACCACAGATGAACTCAAACATGCTTGAGAAAAGTCCAAGTCTAAAAATTCAAGAGACTTGGATCAAGCTGCTGACTTACTACCAGCTGTGTGTGCAAAACAAACCACTTTGCTTTCATATGTTCTGAAACAAGGACTACAGTGAAATGAAGATGTTACCTTGCAGGTTCCTTGAGACACAGGTCACTTTTATCAGAGATCCCTGGGTAATTAGTAAAGTGCCCCTACTGATGCTAACAAAATAAAGTAAACCTCATCATTTCCTCAAGTTGAGGAATACCATGATTATATTGTAAAGTGGAAACTCAGCCTCCTTGGAGGCACTGTGAGCCTGGCAGTTGGTGATGGTGACGACGTGTCCTGTTTTGTGTACTTTTAGATATACAGTTCAGCTTGTTGTGGATCTTGAAAGCTTAGAACTAAGAATATTGATTTATAGACTTTCTGAATTGTCACTGAAATTTTTGGAGTGCATTAAAAAATAAAAGAAAAAGCTTTTATTGAACAATATCCATCTCTATAAGTGACATTTCCTGAGGAGTGAGATACTCTTCAGTGTAAGGAACCTGAGAAACTTGTCAATATTTCTAGAGTTCTGTTTTGCCAAACCTTACATCATCCTCACTAGAAAGTTTTAATATTACAACCTGTATTTCAAGCAGGATGGAATGGAAGCAAAGAAAAAGTTGCCAGGAGTCTGTAATGGAGTTGCAGTGGAACTGGTCTTTCATTTGCACATTTAACCATTCTGTGAGTTCAATCTGACTTAAACGAGTAGTTTCCAGCGTACTGCAAATTTTATGTGCCAGCCACCACAGATCTAGAAGGCCTCAGGCTTGGAAGGCTTGTGCTTCTCTTTCATATATGCACCAAAGATAGCACACTGCTGAGTCAAAATAAGATAGCATAGGTATATTTGAAATTCGCTCTATTAACTAAGATTTTCAGTCCTTGTTTGTAGACATCAAAAAGAACCAGATCCAAAAAACTGTATTTAAGAGGCTAGAGTCAGTAGTAATTAATGCTTAAAGTGATCTAACCATACACAGCCAACCTACATAAGTGCAGATCCTCAAGAGGTTTGTGATTAGTAGGTAGCCTTACTTCTGCCTAATATATTGGTACCTTGAAATGTAATAAACACTGCACCGCTAAGAATCATTTACAGTGAGAAGACTTCATTGCAAAAACTGATTCTTTCCAGTCAAAGTTTTAGCACCACATTACATGTTTCTACTTCTAGAGGAAAGTGTCCCTGTGTCAGGCTAAATACTGACAACCTCCCACCTCTGCTTCCTACTGCTCCTTCCACACATAACTCCGTCACAGCAAGCCCCTGCTGGAAAGGACAGCATGTGACATTGCAGGTCACAGCAGCTCCTTGGTCTGCAAGGGGAATTATTGCTGTGTTACGTGAGATGAATCACATTGTTCTGGACAGATTCTCAGTGAAGGAATGTTAAAATAAGGCTTGCATTAGTTTGCACTATTGCTTGTGCTGCCTGCCTCAATGAATTTTATGGCTGAACAAAACATGAGCCATCAGTAGATCAATTTTTCAGGCTCCTGCATTCACCCCTCTTTCTGAATGGGCCTGGCTACCCCAGTCCTTGGGGATGCCCCAGATGGATCCCCATTCTCCTGGGCTGGACAAAGTTCACCCAAAGACTTACAGAGCTGCCCTCATAAATATTTGGCCCTGTGGGTTCCTGTCACCTGCTCTTATTTAAAAGATTTTCTTCTCTTTGAAGAGCACTGTGGAATGCAAACCTCTATTTACCGTGAGTGTTTTCAGCCTGGCTTCACTGTCCTGTGGCTCTGCACCTTGCTCCTGTTCTGTTTCTCTAACAAGGTTTGTTTCCTTTTTGCTCATTACAGAACCCCTTTCTCCTCCCTCTGTTGCAGAAGCCTTGTACCCTCTGTGCACCCCAGCTCCACAGCTGATGTGGGCTCACCCTCCAGTCCTTGGGCTAACACCATTCCAGGTGCTCTGGAATGTCATATTGTCAGCTGTAGCAAAAAAAAGAGTGGGAAAAGAGCTGGGCACAGGAGACAGGGCAGAACACAATGAACTATCATGTGGGAATGGCTTTTCCATGTTACACTGGTTTCTGTGTATAACAAAAAATACCTCTTTCCTCCCAGCCTGCCATTTTCCTCTCATTTCTTTCTTTCTTTTCCTAACTTCAGGTTTTCTCTCTTCATTACCTCTCTGAAGCCACCGTGGTTAAAACACAGGATATTTGTTTTTTACCTGGGTACTACACTTTGACAAGTTTAGAAGAAATCTAATTCTCTCCAGGCTGTGAGTTTACCAGCTATTTAAGATAACGACTCCAGATAGTTTCCTGAAACTGCCAAGGATTCTGTCAGTTTGCATCCAAGAGAATCACTGTTGACAGGGAGCCTGGAAAAGTTTGGGACGGAATAGTGCAGCTTCTGCTGGAGCTCCCCCAGCCTGGCTTGCTGCTCTCTTTGGGAGCACAGGGATCTCTGGAATTGCCCTCACATCTGCTGGGCTGATGGGGACAAACCTCCACCAGAGTCAACTTTTGCACACAGGAATCCTTAACAGAAAATTTCTTTAAAAAGCTCCTGAGAGACCTGACCCTTCTCTTTGTGGAGTTAATAGTGAAGCTCCTACTTCATTTCAGTGGGGCAGGGCCAGCTTTTCCATCTGTGTAGTACTCAGGGAGTACTGAGGTAAAGACTGGCGAGCCTGGCAGCTGCAAAATTGTGGTGGTTGGAAAATGGAACTTTATGAATATTTATTCTCATCATAGAAAAGTCTTTTTTTTTTTTTTTTTTTCTACTACATTCTGAACGTTCTCCTGGGCTCTGCAGCCCATTATTGCAAAAGAGGCAAGAGGCCAAGGTATGCTCAGGAAACTATTACAAGTATTAGATTGCATTTGTGCACACATGCTTACCAAGCAAACATGTAAACACATATTCGTCTGCATCTTCCAAGAGAGTAATTCATGACAGAAGTGTGCATACTACAGGTGATTGTTTGGAATTTTTATTAGACACCAGTCCACATACCAAGGCACTTTCTCAGGCATTACTCAGGAAAAACTCACAGCTTTAACATTACAGTGCTTAAATACAAGAAAATCCATAATATATTGCACAGTATTTTTCTTTCAGCACAAAAGTTACAATACTTCTGTTGTCATGAGGGTCTACAAAAGTGTATGAGTTAAGCACTTTAAAAATACATTCTTAATAACTTTTGGACATGTATCTTCAAGTCCACTGTAAGAGACTTAACCTCCTTTGCCTCAAAAGAAAAACAGGATTCTGTTTCCAGCCCAGAATTCATTAAACACTTGATCAAATATCTGTTGTTTTGCATTTGCCATTTCTTCCCCGTTATTTCTAGAATTTCAGAACTTTTCTGCATTTCTAATAACTCAGGATAGCCACTCCAAACTGAAGGAATGTAAAAAGTTGTTCTTGGACAACAGTTGTGACTAACCAGAGGTACCAGGTTCAGAGAAGGAATTTAGCCTTGTCCAATGAAACCAAGTAAGATCATGGCCAGTGTATTTGATTATGAAAAGAAGTTCCATAAAGTATTTAAAGGGTAGTAAAAAGTTCATCTCTTACCTATCACTTTGATAATGTGTTAGTAGACAAGCTGTTACTAATTTTTAATTCATTTATTAAAAAGGGCTAGAATGCTTTCTTCTTTCTTTTTCTTTCTCAACAACATACACAAAAGCAATATCCCCCAAAGCAGACTTGCACTAGGACATGAGATGGAAAACTTATGTTATAAAACCCATCTCTTTTTGCTTAAAGCAGAGAGATGTGCTGAGAAACTGGTACAGTATGACAACATTTTAAACACAGAGGAAACAAGATTTATCTGGCTGATATACAATATAAAACAAAAATCGAACACCAATGTTACAGTGCTATATTGAAACAAACCACATTAATTAGATGCTTTGAAGTCAAGCCTATATTTTCTTCAGCTTTTTCATGAATTATTGATCCACTTTCCTCATTAAATGGAATGGCAGGCTCTTGCAGTAAATGGACAAGTGGCTACAACATTTATATAATCAAATATGCTCTGCATCTGGCAATAAAACATGTTTGTGTGTAAAACATGCTTTCTGAATTAACAACCCTGCAAAATAGATTTACTAGAACAACCACATTCCTTTTCTTTTGTCTCTAAAGCACAGCTTGCCTTGCATCATCATGCAATCCAGTATTCTACTCTGATCGTATTAAGCAAAATATTTTCCAAGAGCCTGTATTGTGCATTGTGCAACAGAACATTTCTTCTCTATAATGAGATGTAAATAAACTGTCTCACTTACCTTATTTTCTCCATTTCTGCCGCAGAGGCCTACAAGAAATCAAATAATAGGAGCAAGTGAATGAAAGAAAACATTCACTCTGCAGATTTATGCATAGTTAAGGCTTTCCGAATGCTTCTCGACAAGTGGCTACGAAGCGCCGGCGAGCGAGCCCCACATCTGCATCAGCCGAAAATAGCAGCGCCAGCTGAAGTGGGGAGCGGAGCCGAGCGCAGTGGGGGCCCGGCAAACCCACGAGCCACGGGCACCAGAATGACTCAGTTGTAGCGCTCAGGCACAAAACGGGGAGGGGAAAAAAAAAAAAAGAAGAAGAAGAAGAAGGGGAGAAAAAAAAAAAAAAAAAGCGAAAAGCAAGCAGCAGCAAGTAACAGGTTACTGAGCCTCCTGGGTTTCCCAGGGAAAGTTGAATTGCGGTGCTGCCCTGTGTGCGGTGGGCATGGCAGCGGGCTGGGCTGCCGGGGATTGACAGCGGCTGCATCACACGTGAATTTGGAGCTCAATTCATCATCTTGCACTGAGCCCGGCAGATGGAAGGACACCGGCTCGCCTCCTTGGTGGGAGTTTCGAGCAATCAAATTACTTTCCTCAAGTAATACGCTATCTTGGCAATTAGCATCTCAATGCATGGAGGCGGCTGGTTAACCCTTTGTCTGCTGCTGCCCCGCCGGGAGCTCCGTGCCCCGGCGCCTCCCGCGGTCCTGGCTCCCGTTATCCCTCCTGCCGTGGCTCTCCTGGCATCCCACAGAGCCGCCACAGCCCCGGCTGGCCGCTTCAGCAATCCGCCTGGGCTTTTTACCCTGTCGGTGCTGTAAATTCCTACTTATCTATACACGGAGTCTCATTAATTTGTCCAGCATTACTTATCTCCAAAGCATAGTCTTGTTAACCCTTTGGTTTCTTTTTTTGTCATTATCTCGCGCAAATCCTGAATAGCCGCTCCCATTTCATTTTAGCACAGCACTGGCACAGAATCTCATCAATTCTCCCAGTCCCGCTTTATTGTAACTAAGGAATGAGCACTCGGAGCAATCCTGCAATCTCTAGAGCCAGAAAAATCTCAGCATCACAGAATATCTTATTTATACTGAAAGCATTGGCCATTAATCATGAGCATTTTAAACCTTATTGATTAATGGCTAACAATCATATTTGAGCATGAAATAAATTAAAGATTAAAAATAGAGAAATGTAAATTTAATCAGTTAACCAGCAGGAAATTTGTCAAACTGCCTAATAAAACATCCCAAATGACAAATTGTTGGTTCTTCATTGGGTCACTTGCCTTCCCTTTTTCTCATTTGCTTTTGATTTGCCCATTAGAGAAGTTGTCAGTCAGGCTGGTGTTTGCACGGTAAATTCTGATGACAAACATTAAGGTTTTTAGCCATTCACCATAACTTGGTAGGCAGGAAGCCAGCTGCAGAAAAACCCTCCTCAGTTTGTCAGTAACATATGTAATACATGTTTACATGCTCCTTGCTATGCAAACAGGTATTACACAGGTGCTATGTTGGAACCACAAGGCTGTGTGGAATCTTGAGATTAAAAATGTAACCTAAGGACCCGTAATTGCTTTCTCTAATTGGTGTCTCTCCATTGAATCCTGCATATTCTGTAGTACACAGGAAATAGATTCAACATTGCTGATCAGAAAATGAAACCACAGAGCCTTTCTTCCTGGGCATGAGAAACTACTGGCAGACCCACAGGCTTGCCAGTTTGGCTTTCCAGGCATGAACTCTCCAACACTGCCCTACTCATCATGTTCCTTTAATTTTTGGGAAGATGACATAGTTCTCTTGCAGGGCTACTCACTATTTCTCTGCCTTGAACTCTGGGAGTCACTGTGAAGACAGGGTACTTTAGAATATCTCATTTCAGAGCTTCTATTATGGCAATATCTGCAGACATAAAGGGTAGGTACCTGGCCTTGCTTTTGCCTAGTGCTTTGAATAATGCTGCACTCATGGGGTCAGTGTGGGGGTTGCTTTGTGTGATTAAATCAAAGTATTGAGAGAGGAGCTGTAGACTGATGTTTTGGTGATACTCATCTGTGAATGCAAGTGAGTCATTGGCTGCCAATCCCGACAGGAAATTAGTAGGGAGAAAAAAACACAGCAAATGCCTAACACCAATTCAAACAAGAAAACTAAACCAAGCTGCAATTACTTTTTTTTTTCCCCCTGGTAGAGCTGGGTTTTTACCTCCTCACAGTAAAAGCCCTTTGTTCCATGTAATATGGCCAATTTTCCTTTGGACCATTGAGGATGTTCTACTCTGCCTCTCCCTGACGGGTTGTGCAGTAAAGAGATGGCTCCTCTCTGATGTGGAAGCTGTGGGTTCAGATCAATCCTCCTCGAGGAGGATGCCCTGCCCCAGGTCAGGGGCCTCTCTGGGCTGCATTGCAATGCTCTATTATGTCTTTTGATGGGGATCCACTTCCAGTAAATAAATAGGAGCACAGGACAGGACTAGAGCCTCTGTGTTCTTCAGCAGATTGCCCTAGCTTCAGCCTAGGGAGCCAAATGAGCATATAGATACTAGAAATGGCAAAAACAAAGATAGGAACATCAGTAAAACATAGCTTCCATCCCAAGCAGTTTATTTCCTCAGATAGCTGTGTCCCTTTGAAAGGTCATTTTTTATCCTTTTATTTTACTTCTTCTTCTCCTTCTTCCATTTCTTCCTCTTCTCAATTTTTAGGTTTTTTTTTTTTTCTTTTTTTCTCTCCCCCTACAAAGTACCTCAGCAACTCACAGCTATTTTAGAAGTCTGTGGTATTCTGAAACAGCTCTGTAATCACAAGGTGACATTTTTACTAAGGCAAAATTGCTGTTCCTAGCCAGATCCCTGCCATTGATTTAGCCTGTGGAAGTTTAGAGGTTGCATCATCCTTCCACTGCTGTCTATGAAGGTTTCTATCCGAAATATCTTACTGAATTTATTTAAAAATATATTCTAAACAGCTCTGAATTGGCCACTTGAAGGAAGACAAATCTTGACCTTAAATTCTTATGGGATCTATTTCAAGCATATAGACCGAAGTAAAGGTTGGTGCAAGAATGTCCTTAATGGTAAGTCATCCATAAATTGTTGCTTGCTAGTGTGTTAATTCATTCCAAGTAATTCTTGAAATGAATTCTTGATGCCTAAATTGAGCAATGATTGAAGCTGTATGATTTTTAAAAATTAAATATTTTAAATTAAGATCAGTAATTACCTTTAATTATAAAAATATCAGATGTGATTTATTTACATGGGTTTTTAAAAACAGTATAAATGCAGTATGACTAAAGAATTTAATTAATTGACCTAAAAATAACAATTTTTGCTTTTAATAAAAAGTTTGGTCTGAGTAACACAGTAGGCTACATTTCTATATACAGTCTCTTTACTTAAAATACTGAGACAGGTTTGAAGATTTTAATTTTTACAGACATACTTTGTGGCAACTCTGCCTGGAAGCACTTTTAGGCAATGCCTAATAATATTGATAGAAACCTGCTTTTTCCCAAGTGTTTGAAGGAAGCAAGTGTGATACACTGAACAACTACCAAGACTCACCTTTTTTGGAAGTGTTAAACATTTAAAAGTCCATTTTGGAATGGATATAAAAAAAAGAAATCAGTTACCTTTTCTTTCTTTTTTATAATATAATCCCCCACCCTTCACTTATTCTAGATTGCAAGTTGACTTTCTTTGATATTCTTTGAGAACAAAGTCATTTGCTGGCTTGAATGAAAGCATGGATGCTGTTAATGGAAACCCCAGGAAATTTTGCTGTACTTTTTTCCCTCTTTAGAATATCATTATTGCCTTTTAGACAGCAAGACAATCTCTGAGTTGTTTTCAAGTTAGCAGAGTGAGTGAAGTATATTGTGATCCCCAAATTTTTTATCTTTCCATGTTTCATTAATGAGTCAAACAAGCTCAAGACAATGGCAGAATATTCTTAGTCATTGACAGACTTAAAGCTTAGCATAGTGATCCAGTTCTTTGGGTTTTTTATATAATCAGTGTCTACAGTATTGATTATTGAACCTAAACATATTTTTAATGAAAAGTCATGCTGATGGCCTATCATTCTATTCAGTTCACACTGTGTTTATGCTTTATTTCCTTTATGATCCCTTATTGAGGAATAAGCAATCATGAGATTTCAGATCTTTCAGATGTCTAATGAATTTCCTTCCTCTAGGATCTTAAGGTTAATTTTTATCCTTCTGCATCTGCCCAACGTGAAAAAGGAAAAGTACCCTGGAGGTGAATTTTTAAATTTTACTTATTATCTTTTGTTTTCTTGGAAAAAGGTGTGTAAATTTAGAAGGAGGAACTAGACCCAGAGTCTGGCTCAGTGCTCAGGAAATCTTCCCACTGTGTTCAGTGACTTTGGAGTCCCATGTTGGCTTGTTGCTACCAAAGGTACCAGAAAAAGTGGAGCAGGAAGTTACTGCCACTCATTTATTCTTACTGTTTACTCAGACTTGTTTATTATTGTGGAAGTTACTTTCATTTCTTTGTTGAGGAAAGCTATAAATGAGAGCTTATTCACAACTAAAGTTGTCTGGACTTCTGGCACATTTGTAAACTGCCACATGTTTTCAATCCAAATATATTACTTCAACATTCTTTTGTGCTTGCTATTGTACTCAAGTTTTATTGATAGAAACCACTGTAGTCCTTTTTCCTTTCTTTTCCTACAGAGTACAAGAGTTAAAGATTTGATTTAATAAAAATTACAGACTACATAATTTGATAGGATCAATCTTTAATTAGATGTTAATCAATTTTTAGAGATTTCTTTTATTGGCTTTAAAGTACCACTCAGGCAATGCCCAAAGAAAGACTAAAATTTTATCTATAGAAACTTTAAAAGAGCTGGAAGAATTGTCCATTAGCAACTGATTGTATTGAATGTATCTGATAGATGTTTATGAAAGAAGTATCATCTTTCTGTAAAACTCTTGCCTGAAATTTTCATGGAGATACACAGAAAATAGAGTCCAAGTCTCCACAGTTGCCACTGTAA